CCAGAGACAGAACGCGAACCACGGAACTCAAATATCACACCCGACCGACATCCCACCAGAGCTATTACGGTCGTTAGTGATCTGTCGAAATTTACCTTCTTATATTGTAGCAGTTTTTTATTGTCTGAAAACACGGACAAAAGGACATTTTCTAAAAATAAATCCTAGCTAGATCGATTTATTGCCCCCGAAACTCCCTGGACACTAAATTTTATGAAAATTGTTGGAGCCTTTTCCGAGATTCCGATTATATATATACAAGAATTGCTCGTTTAAAGGTATAGGATATATAGGATATTGTATACCTATCTAAAATTTACAATATTATTTATTCGTACCCTTAATCATTTTGTTATTATGCCTACCATTTATCAAATCAGGACAATAATGATAATATATGTTGCGGACGACGAGTAGATTCATCATACAGATTCATTGTACAGTTTCGGATAAATCCTCTTACAGCTGACTTTAGGTTGATAACCCAAAACTTGCGTCTTATAAAGGCCATCGTTTGTAGAACGCCCCCGTGTAAGGTTTTTGCATGACCGTCGTTTATTATAAGTCTGGTAACATGTTGCTTTGCTGGGATAATAATTGGGTGCTTAGTATTCGTCGATAAATAATATCTCCCAGAACTTTCTCAGTAGATTATTAGTTTCATCATCCAAACGTGTGACATGTAGGCTTGTTATTTGTGGTAAACCATTTACTGACTTGCTAACGCTTCCTGATAAAATCCACCCCAGGCTTGTGTATTGGGCGACTAAGTCACCCGGACCCCTTATCAAACCTGAGCCAATTATTTTACAAAAAACATCAGCACCGAGAAGAATATCTATTCTACTCGGCGTGTGAAAATGGGGATCAGCTAATTTCACACCATTAAGCTGAGGCCAACCACAAATTTTTACTTCTTTAGCAGGTAACCTACGAGTCAATGATTTAAGCACATATGCTTTTATTTTTACAGAAAAATTTGATATACATTTTGACTTAACTACCAATTCTGAGATGTAATTGATACATATTCTACCTTCCCCTCCTACACCAGAGACTACGCCGTTAATGTTAGTTATTCTTAAACCCAATAAGTCAACAACTCGTGAGGTCACGAACGAAGCCTCTGATCCCTGATCAATAAGTGCACGGAAGACATGTGTTTGTCCTATGCTCGATGTGATGTCTACTAATGCTGTTGCCAGTAAAATCCTTTGACCAGGTTGTTCCTTAGACATATGCGCTGTCACCTTTATCTCAGTCTCATTTTGCTGCTTTGGAGTAGTTCCTCCTGTCGTCAATTTTTCATTCGTCGTCAAATGCTTTCTATCATTATGTAATAAGGGCCAAATTTTCATGATATGTGTTACATAAGTAATGTGTGATAGGCATAAGACAAAAAACATTAATTGTTACTCTGTACAAACCTATATCTTTTTTCTGTAGGTTGCTTCACAAAATTTTTACAGTTAAATATATAATGCTTTTCTTTACAGTAGCTACACGGCACATGTACACCATCAGCAGCATGAAAGGACCTTGGGTTAATAGTTTTAGTAATTTTCTTTGCAGGTTCCACCATCTCAAGAGTTCTAAATTTAGTTTCCAGGAACCCTTTTAACTGTTCGAAGAAAGGTAAGTCTTCTATATTATTCTTACCAATAGACTCCTCCCACTGCTTATGTGTACCGGTGTCCATACGACAAAATTTACATTCATCCCAATGTGAAGTTGGCAAACCGAGATTTTTTAACGCATTAATACACTCCACAGATGTGTCCAAAACGCTTATAAGTTTGCTGACTCATGAGGTAAGGCTTTTTGACTAAAATTTTTTTTTAAAAATACAATTTGCTATGTATCTTTTGTTATCATAACGTCTTTTTAGTACGGACCAAGCTTCTGCATAATTCTCTCCCGTAATAGCAAATTGTCGTAATAATACTTCGGCATCTCCTTTTAAATTGCTCTTTAGATAATGCAACTTTTGCACGTCTTCAAGAGTATCGTTTTTATGAATAAGTGCTAAGAACAAATCGTGGAACGATTGCCATTCGGTATAATCGCCACTAAAGATAGGTATTGTGATTCTCGGCAACTTGGTATCATTCGGTTTTTGACATACCCTTTGTTCCAATTGTTGTGATTTATTTTCAGTATCCATAATATCTGGTTGCAATTTTTGTAAAGCATTTCGTAATTCTCCTTTATATGTATAATATAATTCCTCAAAATGATCATAAACTTCGTAATCGAAATAATAACAGGACTTCCTTTCTTCCTTCAATTTTACTTGTATGATGTTTTGATGCAAACACTTAAAATCTTTCCAATAAACTTCTAAGGAATCCAGTCTAGACGTTAAATAGCCTACTGTAATTCTTTCCTTTGGTGCCTTTTTAAAATTTGCATAAGCCCTTTGTATATTCTCGTAACTATCACATTGAATGTTCGTTCGTTTTTCGCTGAATCCATTTTCGTTAAAAATGTTAATGTTACTCCTTAAATATGAATATCCTTAAATTTTGTAACAAAGGAAATAAACTAAATTTTTTAACAATTAACTGAAAGTAAGGTATTCGTGGGTATAAAAATAAAAATAGTTCAATGTTCAAGCGCCGAGCGAAACAGTATATCACAACTGTTGCTTATTTCTCTCACTAAATACTTTATAAATCACTACGTTCGTTAACTCGTATATTGTTCAACACACTTAAATCGTTAATTGTTAATAAATGTTTTTAATACATACCACTAATCTCACAGTTCCTTACGTATAGATTGTTCATAATAATACACAACTAACACTGTTTTATAGTTTTTATATTATATTTTGTCCATTTATTTGCACTAAAAGTAGTTTATCTTGTATTTACTCCTTAAATATTTTTACTTATAATGTCTTTTAACAAATCCGGCTCGAAGGACCATATGTTAAGAGTGTTAGGGTCTATATTCGTATAGCAAGTGACTTTGAAAAGAAACTACGTGTTCATATGTTATGACCGTTTACTTGAGACTAAAATTCACGAAATGCACACTATGCAGTTAATGTCACCTTGCGACCTTGACATTTATTTTGTATATTATATTTGCTTATTTAATATAATATTACATAATATTATATCACAATTACCTTTTAATGATATTTTATCTGAATATTTTAAAAGGTATTTATGTCAAATATAAAAAACATACTAAATATATATTTAACAAAATTATTAATAAAACATATAAATTACAAATATATTTATTTAAATTAGAATAAGAGTCGTACATTAATGCTGGGCACGCCAGAGTTATAAATGAACGAATTTATTCCACTTTGACTTTGATGTGGAAATCTAAAAATAAAATAAAAGAATGATGGGGACATTTAAATATAAAAAAATTTGCCTAATTATGATAACTTATATATGTTTCTACAAAAAATGTGTGTAATAATATATTCGTCTTATACTTAAGTACCCACAGAAATGTCGCATCTGAACAAATTAACTTCATGATCTATATTCCATGACACGAGATGGCGTCTTAGGAATAATTTGTGTTATTATTAAACGATAATACTTTTTTAATGATTAAGTATCTTATTAACCGGTGAGAAGTAATTCTTTGGTTTTAAATGACATTTCTTGAATTATTTGTGCAATATCTAAGTACATACGACGGCATATTTTTCCAAGAGATTTTTTTTAAATCTTTTTTTAATTACAACACGTGACAACTCTACAAGTGCCTAGCGAGTGACTGACTAAAGTGCGGTGTAAGCACCGCAGTTCAATGGAACAAAGTAGCTGAATGTAGTGTCGCCTGTAGTACGTAGTACATAATAGCTCAATGTATTCGAAATAAAAAAAATTCGAATTTAGATAACGTCTAAACTTTTAAAGTCAGGTTTATTTAGCAGAAATGACTCAATTCCGAAAATTTTAATTACGAATTAACAAACAGATAAATGGATTATCAGCGGAAAATAAATATACTCGAATTTCAGAAGTTCAATTGTCTCCAATAGGTAATTTCATTTTAAAATTGTAGTTAATTTTTATGTGATAATTAATTAACATAAGTATACAAATATTGAAAAGGAAGTGCAATTGTCTTCAATAGGTAATTTCATTTTAAAATTGTAGTTAATTTTATTGTGATAATTAATTAACATAAGTTTACAAATATTGAAATTGTTTTACTCATTTTTTATTTAAAATTATATCGTCTGAGTTTTATCTTTAGCAATAGCTTAAGAACAATCTTATAAGCTAATAGTTGCTTTGTAACGGAAATTGTTTTATTGGCATACGGTACTTCGTATTTCGTTACAATCACTTTTCTAAAATATTGATTTTGACGACTGACGGATGAACTGACGACGGATGATTCGCATGTTTGTATTTCGGCATAGTATAATTTAGTAGATGTATGCAGAAAGGGCGATAATACTGAAGGTAACATATGGAACTACCATAAAGAATTAACGCACCATAAAATGAAATAAAACTAATGGTAAAACTAAAAAGAGTTTTATATATTCATGTAATCACCTGTCACTCCTATAAAGGGAGATGTAGGATGACATGAAAAGGTTATTTCCCGGACTTCATAGCCTAGCTAAGATCTGTTTGCCGAATCGTATCGTGGCAACTCCAGTACCCCGTGAGCGGTTATTCTCGGAGGCTGTATCTATAATCATCCAGGAGAGAAACCTCTTACTAGGCGCCAGGTTGTCAAAATTGTTATTTTAAAATTCAAATCTAAAGAAATAAATGTAAAAGTAAAAAAAAATATTTTATTAATTCTTGTTTTCAGTTAAAAATTAAAAATTATTCAATAAAATTAAATTGCTAAAAATTTATAGTGTAAAACTACCTAAAATAACATAAATATAATGTTTGATTATTATCTACATGTTTCATTTCTGTTCAAAATTATTATGTATTCGATTTAGATATTTAAATGGGGATAAAAAAAACATTTATATAATAAGCCTTTAATTTACATTAATTATCTCCACAAACAATTTCGTTTTGTAAACATTCACTATTTACATAAATTGGACCACACTGCCACAGACACTTAGGACATTTTAATGTAGTATCGTACATTTTAGGTGCTTGCAAATCAACCCAGCCGCTAAAAGGTAGATCACTTTTAGAAGTCAGTGAAATTGAGTCGAATTCATTAAAAATTTTCCAGTTTTTATCGCTATTTTCCGATTTACTAACATAGTCCTTTTTCTGGAGGTATTTTGTCAGTTTTTCAATTTTTTGAGCGTCATCCATACTTGAATTTTCTTTACTTGCTGATTCTTTAATAGGGCAGCTTGATTCTGAGACTTCGAGTAAGTTTGTGCGAAGTTGAGGTGATAAGTCACAACTTCCGAAAGAATCGCCATCAATGGAAATTGTGTCCTGTGCTGTGAAAATGTTCATTTTCAACCATTATGCACCTATAGACAGAATATATTTACTATAGTGTCACATTCACAGACAGTAGATAGGGAAGGGATTTTAAAAGTTCTAGCTCTCACCTAAATTAGTTAAAAAAAACAGCTAATTCTGGAACATACAAATAAACAATTTAGGTACTTCAAAGTCATTACATCTCCGTGCATCGTCTATCGCATATCTAACAGGGAGTGCTCAGAGAAATTGTTGAAATCAATGCATTGATTCCAGCTGTTAAATCCTACCACTGTGCACTGTGACAGAACTCGCGATTTGTATTCGTTGTAGCACGAATCGATCGGTTTGACGGGGGAAGGACCACGCCACCTTGTAGAGAACTGGAGACCCTTTTGAATGGAAACGAGTTTCATTTTGATTTTTATTAAGGATATATGTAGATGTCTATAACATCCTAACATCCATTTAACATCAGGTGTACCGTGTGTGATCGTTTATCACCCATATGAAAAAACGCAAGATCAAATTGTGGATTTTATTGTAGCCAGCGGTTTTCCGGAACCATACGTCTTAGGGGCAGTTCACACTGAGACGCGACGCGCCGCAACGATACTTGAAAGGTCAGTGGTTTCGAACCGCGCAGCGCGGCGCCGCAAGACGCATCGCGACGTCGCGAGGCGCATCGTGTAGTCGCTGGCAGCGCACCGCTCTTGCACGCTGCGTCTCCTGACCAAGAACCGCTGCGTCGTGATGCGCCTCGCTACGCCACGGGGTATTTTAGAATTATCTCAATAAAATATGTATCTTTTTCTGTAGTAAATAAAGTTATATGTTGTATTACTATCTTAAAAAATACGCGCCGTATCACGTCTCGTCTCGTCGCGGTGTGACTTGACCTTAGGGACCTTCAAGAAAAGAACCTAATCATTTCTAAAAAGCCGGCAACACACCTATGATTCCTTTGGAGTTGCAGATGATCACCGGCGCCGGTGGTCACCATCAGGTGAACGCAGTTTTTCCAGTGATTCTAACCGGCAAAGATTCCAAATCGTTACACAATCGCATGGCTAGTCCCACAATACTGACAAATACCTCTTATTGTCGTACTTACATAGTCCAACCATAACTTACATTTTTTCGGCTCATTTTGTTGGAACCACTTCTGTCGTCCAGTACCATAGCGACAAAATGGCGGCTGAGGATTTTGCATCATAAAAACAAATGGCGCACTCTCTTTACTTCCATTCATGAACTGCCGCATATTTTCTGCGAATTGTGCGTTGTTCTGCCATTGGTCAAAGCAGTGTTTGAAGAATTCCGAGGGATTATCTTCACAACGGTTAAGCACATGGCGATGGAAACATGCCTCGCAGAACACTTGACCGTAGTAGATTTTGAGGTTCGAGCTTGGAATTTCGTGACAGAAGTCTGAAATGTTAGTTTACTATCGAAATAATTCTTAATTTTCAATAAAATAATTTACGGTTATTATTTACAAGGTTTTGTAGTAAAAATATTTAAGCTGTACATATGCCATCTAAAGCTTCTTATATCCAATGGAAAAAATAATTTAAAACACCCTAGCTTTATCGTAATCATTATTAATCCGTAAACGTAAACAGTCCATCAAAGAATAAGAGCACAGAACACTATTACTCTCAAGGAGGTTATAAATACATTAAAACCTCCTTGATGACTACAGAGCTTTTTCAAAGAGTAGTAGGTATTCGCCACAGCTGTCTATGTAGGTGTCTATGGTCTACAGTACTCACATACATACTACCATCAGGTGATTGTAGCTTGCTACATATTTATTTATCTATGGGTGATTGTGTCGTTGGTCAAGCTAACAGCTAACTGTTATAAAAAACCGTAATACTTGGCATGCAAATTGCAGGTCACAGTACCAGAGACGTTTCACATTTTTGTTACTACCCCTAGTTAACCTTCTGTGTTTTTTATGTTTTGTATCTGGTTACAAGATGCGTTCTGGTATTACGGATCATTCAACTAAAGTGGCAAAGGGATGGCCATATAGCTCGAAGAACCGACAACTGATGGTGAAGAAAAGGTTCTTGAGCTGCTACCTCGTACCGGTAAGCGAAGTGTAGGGCGTCTATCACTAGATGGCGCGACGGCCTGGTAAGAGATGCAGGAAAACGACTGCAGATGGATCTGATCTAGACCGTGCTTTGCGCATTCTTGCGGGAAGCCTATGTACAGTTGTGGAATTGTTATGGGACGTAACTATGAGGATGATAATATATAAAATGATTATAAAAGTATTTAAAGCTATATATGATCTTACAGGAATTATTTATGCAACTCGCATTACATAGATGAAAAAAGGGCCGTTACAAAATAAATATAAATAAGTAAAATCAAACACTAAAAATCTGGAGGACCCCGAAAAAATAGATAAATTTGATTATTTTCATAATAAAGATTATAGGGTATGGGTAATCAAACTTTACTCACAACACATAGCACACTGACGATGGAAGTTCTGACCACCGATGTCAACTTTATCACTGTCATCTACCGGCTGTAAACAACGCGTGCAAACAGAATGCTTTGGAGGTTCCTTTGGGGCGCTCTCAGGAGGTTTTCCACCTGTTCAAAGAATATCGTGCTACACCCTTGTAAGATAATGTCAACTTGGTGAGGATCAACCCACCATAGTTTATTACCCCTAGTTTAAGGAGTGTTTTTATAAAAAAAAATTTGACACCTAACTTAAATATACTGTAATAAATGTTACTATACTGGATGACATTTTTTTACTGTCTGGAAAAAATAGGGTGTAACATATGAACGAAGTAGAAGCCTATGGTACTGATATTTTACAATAAATAAAAACAAAAATTTTGAATTAAATAAATTAATTAAAATTTATCGAAATTCAAATATCCACCCTACTTTACGAACGGTAATAAAACAATTTTAGTAGGCATCTTTGACTTTGCCACTTCATCAGGATCAGAGGCTAGGGTGGATATGATTTGAATTTCGGTAGATTTTAATTAATTAATTTATTAAATTGTTTATTTGTAAAATTTTTGTTTTTATTTTTTGTAAAATATTAGTGCCATATGCTTCTACTCCGTTCACATCTTACACCCTATTTTTTTATTATGTGCGATATGTATATTTAAGGTAAATGAAATTGGCCCTGCTATAAACATGTAAGTATTAAAATATATTATTTTTATGTAAGTGTGTAGTTAATTTAATATGTAGTTAATTTAAAAAAATGATTATTTTTCAGATTATAAAGCGATTAGACCGCCGCACTATTCCAGTGTGCTGGCAGACTTACAATTATTGCAATCTTTCGTCTGAGTGTGTGGCTCATATATATTACATTCATTTCCATCTTTTTACGTGGTAGAGCCATGTTACAGCTATATTATGATTGTTGCAATAATAGGTCGGCTCAACCACGCTCTCGGCGAATACCAGCGTAAAAATAATTAATCCTGCTGTGTTTAGTATGGTAAGTTTAGAGAACCATACCTTTTTTATTGGAAACGAGGCATTACATCTTAGTCCTTAGTGGTGTCTTCACATTTCTGCATTTTAATTCTTAATCGAGGAAGGGTGTAGATTATATCAATGACCATAGCATCCACTTACCATCAGGTAGACTGGATGTGCTCGTTTGTCAAGCATATTTCATAAAAATCTTATTTATACCAGGAAACCAGGACAGATATCTAGACCCAGAATACACTTGTTCCGTGTATCAAAGCGTCACCAAGCAGCAAGTAATAATTAAAGTAGAGCTGATAACTAAAATAGAACTAGACAGTACACTGCAAGACAATTGCATGGTCGGGTCAGCCCGGACACATGCTTCTCGCAGATATTAACAGACAATGTAAGCAACAAACAGGGGGATGATTCGCTTGCGTCCGGCTTCGACTACCTAACCTTAAGCCCACCCTAGACGTGTCCCACGGATGGTGCTAAACAAGCGATAGAACCGGAAAAACAGACTCGCCTCCTTGTCGTGTGGCAGCGGCGTAAAATCTGCCAATGAAACGGCCCCGAGTTCCTTATTCCGAGTTCCAGGGGTGCTAAGAATCTCCGGGAGTAAAACCGGCGACGAAGCCTCACCCGTCTGTTTCCTGGAGGGGAGAAAAGTGGATAGCAGAAGCCTGTCTGGCTGAATATATTTTGAGCAATTGATGATAAAGTGGATGAAGTATGCGAAATTATGTATGATAGAGAAATATATGTGTTATGTGTAAAAGAGACAAAACGGAAGGGAAGAATGCCACTGCACCTGGCATGTATACCGCTTACTGATCTGGTGTAGACGAGACCGAGCAGGCATATCAGGGAGTCAGTATCGTCCTTAAAGAATGCATTCCTTTTTCATCACTAAACTTTTCCAGTGTTTTAAATATGGTTTCTCCTTTTGTGTCTGTCTCTAAATATCTAGCAAATTCTTCACAAATTTTTTCATCTTTAATAAACCTCACTTAAGACAGCAACAATTGTTCATTAGTTGGTAAACTGGACTCATCCAACTGAATTGAAAATTGACCAGTCTTCAGATGATTGCACAATGACTTTTCAATTTTTGCAGCCATTTCATCAATTCGTCTTTGCACAGAACTATTTCTCAAAGGAATTTTTCGAATTATGTCTGCCGCCGGTTTATGGAGCACAGTAGTTATAACTTCTTTTATTGAGGGCAAGTTTTCTCCGATGGTGTGTAGTTTACCTGTTTGAGCAATTAACAAAGAGATATTTTATGAAGCTCGATGTCTGTCATTGTCTTCCTTAGCAGCCACAGAAAAAAGTTTTGATACACTTGGCTAAGCATTATGCTTTTTTTCCAGGTCTTGAAAATAGGCTACATATTTGACCTTCTTATCTAAATGCATTTTATTCAAATGATCTTGAAGGCTTCATCGCTTCGTTTTAACAAAGAAGGCACAAAGGCATAAATGGATTTGCACTATATGGCATATCTTCTTTTCTGCTTTCGACATGCCTTTGTTTTTAGACAGGATTTAAATACAGCACGCATCGACATGAATAAGACAAACACGCACAAGCTCGTTTATCTCTTTCGTACAATCGTACTGAGCAAGTTAAGACAATATTAGTACCAGCCGATTGCTACCGGATTGCACCAATAGCGTCATTTAACAAAAATTTGTTACAACTTGATTGCATACGGCGTACGGGCTATCCTAGGAAATCTGTGTTAAGTATTTCTAGTTTATATACCATCATAAAGGGCAAAAATATAAACTAATTATTCGATATTGAGTAGTAGTTAGGTACCTATTCATTTTAGTAAATTTTAAAATATAAAGTATCTAAATGAAATTACAAATCAACCATAGCCCCCTTACCCCTAAACCATGCCAACGCCGACGCATTTATTCTGGGCCACTTAACGCTCTAGATCTCCAATGCCCACAGGGGGGCGATATCGCCCACTTTGAGTGACTGGTCTATTCAGACGTTGGCGGCTTCGGACATCTGTGTCTACCACTGTGTTACAGCGTATAAGAATATAAAGGTTACAAGAAGAGGTGTGGAAGAGAAGTATAAATGTAGACTGGGAGGAAATATAAGTGGTTTAGACGAATTGTGTATAAATTAATTTAGACTTGGACACTGTGGGGCCTAATGTCAAGAAAGTTTTGGTCGATGAAGCTCCGAAGTATGTGGTATAAGTAAGAGAACGAATGAAAGGAAACAATACTATGTTATGGTGAGATGATGAAATACGGATGGAAGTTGAAGAAAAGAAGAGATCATCGCTAGATTTACTAACAACCAAAACTGGTAGTTCTAACGGTACGAAAAATGGTATTGAAAAAAAGGCAGTCTTTTGACATCTAAATAAGAGAGTAAAAGTAGTTGTAAGGAAAAAGCAAGAAAGAACGGATAAATAATAATAGAGGAATATTTTGAATTGATTTAGACTTGGACACTGTGTGGCATAATGTCAAGAAAAAAGCCTACAGCACATCTGAATGCTATACGAGATTAGAATAGCTGTATTATGAATGAAGAAGTTTCGGATGTTGTAGATTGTTGACTTGTGTTACTAATGATGAAGATGGAAGTGAAAGTGTGTTTATGATTAAGGAGACGTCTGAATTAAATAAAATAGAAAGCCATATCAATATATAAGTTCACGACGCTCGGCGGGTGACGCGGCAGCTATGTGTATCTTGAAATTTTCAACTTTACGCCCGGTAGTCCAACATTAAATGTTCTATAACTACATAAAGTTACCAAAAAACGGTAAGTTTTACAAAAAAAGATAAAACAAAAGATGGAAAATTTTATTCTCTACAATAATGTCTCTATAACTTTTGCCTTATAGCTAGTAATATATAATGTATAATATATATAAAATAATATGTAATGCTTATAGTGCATGGTTTCCGAGATATCAGCTGAAAACGTTTTTTCGAGATTCACTAGCGCTTCACGCCACCTGGATCTGATCTGTCAACATTTTGTAATTTTAAGCTCAGTAAGTGATCCTTAATCTTATAAAAACAGAAATTTGATCGGAAATTTAGTGCAAAGTTGACCAAAAAAACGTCTATTTTTACTGGCCTATTTCGCTCACACGGATAAAACACCTGCACCTACTCCGATGGCTTACACAGCACCATAGAACACTATTACTCCTAGCGGAGCACGATACTAAGGCCTACAGGGGGTCACTATATACTTATTGTAGTCAAGCGCTATAGTACGGCCGCTGAGTTATTACCGATTTGACAGATTATTCTTAAATTAATCGATATAACCTTGCACGAGCGACACATTTGCCGAATGATTTAGAATACCTCTTTAATATAAAACTTTATGTCAAAATGTCAGAATCAAGTAATTTTCCAATAAACTCTATTTCAAAACTTAAAATAGTTTGTAAATAATATGAAAACAATTATTTTTTGTTCTTTGGCGCGCTTGTACAAAGTTACATCGTGCGTCTAGTTTTCATAGTGATGTGCTTGATAGTATTCGGTCCGATTTCATTGGAGTAGATATGATATTTATTTTATTTGGATATTTTTATTTTACTTATTCCTTCGAGCAACTAGACTATAATGCTACCATTTTTTTGCGTCTCCTAATTGCACTGTGTTGCCAGTATCTCTATGATTTTTAAGATTTATGTGTGATCCAAAGACAGAAATACTGTTTTCTATGATTTAAAAATAAATACAATTAAAATGATTATGTATAATTTTTAACATTCATAATATATAAAACAACATTTAATAAATATAATTTTCTCCCTCAATTAAGCAATGTTATAGGTGTATTTTTTTTAAGTAATTGGCGATACTATTCTGGCAACACCCTTACCACCGCTATTTTAAAATCTGTTTAGTCGTCTTCCGTACTCTCGTGCGCACAGACTACGTTCTCTTGTGTAACAGTTGTTTTTTTGACTCGGCTTTCTCCTGTTTATCGTTGCGCTTTATTGGACTAATTTTGTTTTTGTTTGGTAATTTTGTTGAAAATGCCGAAACGAGGAAAAAACATTGAATAGTCAATGTCGTGAGCTTGTACTAAAGCTACAGGATTACTTTGAGCGTGAGTCACAAAATGGCGGCCCTTTGATTCCTGTCACTCAAGTGAAAGATCGGGTTTCACAAGCTCTTGGAATAGGTGCAAAAACACTATATAATATAAATAAAGAAAAATTTGGTGCTTCTGGAAGTGAAGATAATGTTTTACGCACTCCTAAGAAAAAACGAAGACAAAAGCCCGTGACAGGTGTTGATGCTTCGCTTCGAAGACCGGAAGCGTTTATCGAGAAACAAGCAAATCAAAGTTTTATTGCACTATCATATTTATAGTTGTCATTACCGTTAGACGTGGTGTCCATATTTTGCTGCGGCTTTGTGCCCGGTGCCCACTGCATCCACCAGCTTTTAGAATGCATCCGTGGACATTCATTCCTGTATTTACACAGCACGTGCGCCTTGAAACATTCGCTACAAAAGACATGCCCGTAGAACATCTTCACACAAGTCGGAATTGTTCGGCAGATACCTTAAAACATTTAAATAAATAAATCTCTGATGTATAAAAATTTACGTTTGTTTGTTCCCATTTTATGCGCTGCCATATCGTTCATCAGATTGTGGTTAAAACTTTGTCAACTTATTGTTTGCACTTGCGCGAAGGTTATAGGTAGGTTATAATATACAATTAACTTACAGCTGTGTAGTGGCGGTTGATAGCCGTGTAGTGGCGGTTGAGAATATCCACTAACCCATATCTTCCCGTGGGTGTCGTAAGAGGCGACAGAGGGAGACAGGCAGGAGATGGGCAGCAGCATCTTTCTGATAACAACTGTGTTATAATAAAAAAACTGCGGTTGCCAACCCGCTCGCCAAGCGTGGCAACTATGGCAAATATCCCCCCATGAATAACGACGCAAAAAAACGGCCCCCAGTCCCCGGCGGCCCCGCTATTCCTGGCTACGGTGGCGACCATGGTAACGGCGAGGCAGGGGGTGCTAAGAATCTCCGGTGGAGGTTCGGTTGCCACCTACGACGACTCGACCTGGCAACATATAACGCACGCACTCTGAGGACTGACGAGAAGATACTGGAGCTGGAAGAAGAGGTAGACAAGTTGCGCTGGCATATTATTGGATTATCCGAGGTCCGAAGAGAGGGGGAGGATACGGCAATCCTCGAGTCCGGCAACTTGTTCTACCACCAGGAGGGCGACCATCTGTCCCAAGGAGGTGTCGGATTTATCGTCCACAAGTCTCTCGTCAACAACGTTGTAAAGATTGGGAGTGTGTCGACGAGGGTCGCGTACCTGATACTCAGAATCACCAAACGGTATTCGCTGAAGGTCATACAGGTTTACGCACCAACCTCGGCACATCCCGATGAGGAGGTGGAGGAAATGTATGAGGATATTTCCAGAGCCATGCATTCCTCCAAAACCCACTACACGGTATTGATGGGAGACTTCAACGCAAAACTAGGCACAAGAGAAAGCGGTGAGCTGAAGGTGGGGAAATTTGGAGGAGGGCAACGGAACCGAAGGGGCCAGCAGCTGGCCGACTTTATGGAAAAAGAGGGACTCTTTATGATGAACTCTTTCTTCCAGAAGCGGCCCCACAGGAAGTGGACCTGGTCGAGCCCCGACGGTTCGACAAAAAATGAGATTGACTTCATTATGACTACCAGACGCCAACTGTTCAGTGATGTCTCAGTGATCGCAAGGGTGAAAACTGGCAGCGATCACCGAATGGTTAGAGGCACACTGAACCTAAATGTTGAGTTGGAGAGGTCTCGTCTAATGAAGTCAACGCTCCGTCCCCCTCGTGCTCTAATCCAGAATCCCGAAACCTTTCAGCTCGAGTTACAAAACCGCTTTCAGTGCCTAGAGTATTGCAATGCAGTGGACGATATGAATGACAAGCTCGTGGAAACTGTCCATGCGGTCGGAGCTAAGTTATGCAAGACCCGCCGCAGAAGAACACAAAAACTCTCTGATCACACTCTTAATCTCATGGCTGTTAGACGGGAGATGAGGCTGCAATCGTCAACAGATTTGACAGCATACAGGCAACTGAACAGACAGATCTCCAAATGCATGCGGCGAGACTTACGCAACTTTAATACTGCTCGTATTAAAGAAGCGATCGAGCGGAACCAGGGCTCCAAAGTCTTTGCCAGAGATCTGTCTGCCAGAAAGAGGCAACTTTCAAGGCTGAAGACTGAGTGTGGCAGCATCGTTTCCGGGACACCTGAGATTCTGAGTGAGATTGAGAGGTTCTATGGGCAGCTGTACACATCATCGTTGGAGCCACACGCAAGTGTGAGTAACGATCCAAGAGCAAGTCTTATCCGACACTATTCCGATGATATCCCGGACGTCAGTCTGAGCGAGATTAGAATGGCTCTCCACCACCTTAAAAACGGCAAGGCCCCGGGCGAGGATGGAATTACAGCGGAGCTTCTGAAAGCGGGTGGAACACCGGTACTTGAAGTCCTTCAGAAGCTCTTCAATTCCGTCCTCCATGGTGGCACTACTCCAGAGGCGTGGAGCAGAAACACGGTGGTTTTGTTCTTTAAGAAAGGCGACAACGCTCTCTTGAAGAACTACAGACCGATTTCCCTTCTGAGCCGCGTCTACGTGCTGTTTTCGAGAGTCATTACGAACCGTCTCGCACGCAGACTGGACGACTTCCAGCCTCCCGAACAAGCCGGTTTCCGAAAAGGCTTCAGTACCATAGACCACATACATACCCTACGGCAAATTGTACAGAAGTCCGAAGAGTACAATCTGCCACCTTGCCTGGCGTATGTGGACTATGAGAAAGCCTTTGAATCCGTCGAAATTTGGGCGGTGCTACAGTCACTTCAGCGGTGCCTAGTTGACTATCGGTATATTGAAGTGCTGAAGTGTTTGTACAGTAGGGCTAAGATGGCTATCCGAGTACAGAACCAGAGTACGAAACCTATCCAACTGCAGAGAGGTGTAAGACAGGGTGATGTTATATCCCCGAAACTCTTCACCGCTGCGTTGGAAGACGTTTCCAAGCTACTGGACTGGAAAGGATACGGTATTAACATCAATGGCGAGTACATCACTCACCTTCGATTTGCCGACGATATAGTCCTTATGGCAGAATCGCTGGAGGACCTTAGCACTATGCTCAAGGACCTCAATGGTGTCTCCCAACGGATAGGTCTTAAGATGAACATGGACAAAACAAAGATCATGTTTAATGTCCATGTCACACCTATGCCGGTAGTTGTTGGGAGCACTATGCTCGAAGTTGTTGACGAGTACGTTTACCTGGGACAAATACTCCGACTAGGTAAGTCCAACTTCGACCGAGAGGTCAATCGACGGATTCAACTCGGCTGGGCAGCGTTCGGGAAATTACGACACATCTTCTCGTCAGGTATACCTCAATCTCTGAAAACTAAAGTTTAACCAGTGCGTGTTGCCAGTGATGACTTACGGATCTGAGACGTGGTCCTTCACCGCTGGCCGTATGAGGACGCTCAAAGTCGCTCAGCGAGCTATAGAGAGGGCTATGCTCGGAGTTTCACTGCGTGATAGACTCAGAAATGAGGATATCCGCAGTAAAACCAGAGTGACCGACATAGCCCAACGGATTAGTAAGCTGAAGCGGCAATGGGCCGGCCATATAGCTCGAAGAACCGATAACCGATGGGGAAGAAAGGTTCTCGAGTGGCAGCCTCGTACCGGTAGACGTAGTGTAGGGCGACCCCCCACTAGATGGAGTGACGACCTGGTAAGACATGCAGGAAGTCGATGGATGCAGGTGGCTCAGGACCGTGCTTTGTGGCATTACTTGGGGGAGGCCTATGTTCAGCAGTTGACTTGTGAAGGGCTGTAATGATGATGATGATGATGATTATAGCTGTGGCACGCGATTCAATTACAAAGACTGTATTATCATTCCTAATTAAACAATTTTATTATAGAATTAGCGTGACAAACGAGCACACAGTCCACCTGATGGTAAGTGGATGCTGTGGCTCACTACATTTAACCTCGATTAAGAATCAAAATGCAGATGCTATGTCACCCCTGAAGACTAAGATGAAAATGCCTCGATTCCAGTGAAATGGGTCTCTGTTTCTCAACACTCACCATACGAAACACAGAAGCATCAAGCTAATATTTCACGCTGGTAGTCTGTGAGAGCGTGGACCTTCCCCGGTCGAGCCGACCCTTTCGTGCTACAAATATAATATAACTGCAGCGTGGCTCTACCATGTACAAAATAACTGTTGCAAATTTAAAACGATATTTTCATAAATATTTTGTCTGTTGCAGCAATGCGCCGGCTACAATCTAGTATATAAATAAAACGTGTTTATAAATATTTGACTATTTATTTTTATTTAAGACAACCTAAATATATTTTTTGAATTATGTTTTATCAAAATCTTGAATGTCGTATGTGGTAGAATAAAACCCTGCTAATTATTATCTTATAAATTATAAACATAACTAACTACTCTCGTTATGTCTTTGTTGTTATAAGCCTTCGCGGGCGGGCGCATTACCAAAGTTTTATCGTCATCGAATAAAGGGTTTAGAAACATTACTAGGCAGTTAAAAACATGGAAGTGGTACAATATTTCAAACAAACTCATTAAAACTATCGCTGATTAGCTAATTTTTTATTACGTCTCCCGACGCACATCTCTACCACCCATAGGCCCAACCTTGAGGTTATACGGGCGGAATCTCGAGCAATGCGGTATTTGCGCGGCGCTCTTTTTCGCGTGCACCTTCTTGAATCCCTATAAACGATTTATTCCACTACTTGTTCCATATTGCCACTCTCCCGTCCGCAGTTCCCGAGTTTGCGCATAAGTTCTCCTAACCGTCAACAAGATACGTATAGTACCTGTACGGTACCCATTCTTCCGTGTACTATTCCATCCATCATCTTCACGTTCAGGATGAAACAGAATAGTTCCCTGTCGTCTCCTTCTTCCATCGTACCTGCTATACATTCGTAATGTCAGCCCAGATTTCGCGCTTATGCCTGCTCCACATTCACGTTTTTACGCAATTAATATATCCTACCTACACGTGCTATCTCCAGATCGGCCGCAAGGACGCTGGCTAATAGTGAAAATGCCGCAGCGCTTATCGCTCTATAATCCTTTTTTGTTAACAACACGAGTAAGGATCTCTGCAATCTCAGCAGTGACTTACGCACTGTGTAGTTCCCTACCCGGTCAAACTAAACGGCCGCCGCGCTAGGTTACTATTGGAACATACTCGTACATTTCCTCCCGCAAGATATGAAGGGTAGCGATGTCCTAGGAGGACGCCGACACTCGTGACATCTTTCCGAAACATCTCCCAGCCCTTTCTCCCACATTCTTGGCATGCAGAAAAAAAGATAGACTCGTGTCTAACATAACACCCAACAATGCCTTGGTCTTTGTCGATATAACGCTTTTTATATAATCAGTTGCCATCCTGATAACAGGTGGT